TCTGGTATGTGGTGATTGTATTTTGATTTGTAATTTACGATGACACACTCAAAATATAGAGTCATCAATCACCAATCAATTGCACACATTGCCATGTCTCGTTCAACATAAACATTTTAAGCATCGATTTTGAATGTTCACGGGCCCAATCAAATATTGTATTTAAAAGAATGTTTCAGGCAATACACAGAATAATATGCTCATCGCTTGCATGAAGCGCAAACAGACATGTAGTTAGACGACGTGTGTGTGTGTGTGCATGTTATTGCCAATAAACTCATCATCACAATTGATGAATGCAAATTTCCAAAAATCAATTGAAAAGTATATTATATTGTTTGTCACGCTTATGCGCTTATACGTGTGTAAATTATCATTTTTTCCGGTACAAGTATAGGCAGACAAATACGCGCGCACATACACACATAAATAATTAGTGTTGGATTGACAATCTACAATTGGCTTTCAGCAAAAATGCTTGATTACTTTTACGCCGAGTATCCACATTATGCATTGAAAATTCAATAATGGAATCGAGTGCATGACGCGAATATATTTTCAATAGATCCCGTGTATGTGTGCGACTGTGCATATATCGTGATAGTTTTTAATTGAATCATTTCGATATATATTGTAGAAAGACGGATGACACATTGGCTATTTCAAAAATCCGATTTGAAAGTTCGGGCTCTAATGCATTTGCAACTAGATTCGCATAATTGCATTTTGATTGCATTCGATATATGAAATTTGTGATTGGAATTGGATCGATGTTTTGATCAAAATATCCATTCATTTTAAATGTCATTTGAAAATATTATTTAAATTACAGGCATTCTGGAATTTTGCCATAAAATATGGAATTACGGGATGTTTACTCTTTTTTAGGAAATTTTGATGTCGGTTACCTAAAAGGCCTCAGTTCATCTTTTTGGTGTGAGAGAGAGAGAGACAAAGAGAAAGAGAGAGAGAGGGAACTAGAGGCATGAAATCGAAAAGTTTGCTGTATTCGATCTTATTCATTTAGTTTTTTACCCGTAACCAATTGTACCAATTCAATATCCAAATGGTGTCGCTCTCTCTCTCTCTCTATCCCAAATTTAATTTGAATGCGCTCATTTATCGTATTCACACAATTGAAAACTCGTAACTAATTTACATGAATAACAGCTCAAAATACAAAATTGATTGAATTTGTTCGCTAATGTGATTATATCGTATTGAAATATTAACCAATAAACTGTGTATTTTGACGAATCGAAATTATAGTGAAATGCGGTAGGTGCAATCACGTTTGCATGTAATTTATGACAGGTTTTTCTTCGGGAAAAATGCATGGTGTTGATTTACAACATTGTAGAAGCCAAACGGGCAACCAAAACACAACCACATTCTTTTTTTGTTGTTCATCCGTTGATCAAGAACAAAGGGAGGCTAATTTCAGGAATATCCAGCATCGTTATTACTCATGAGAGTGGCAACACATGACCAAAACGCATAATACTACAAAATAGTTAATAATGGAAAAGAATCGACGAAAACGAAGAAGATTTTAACGATTGTCAAACCAAATTGTGATTAATGAATTTCTTGAAGTGCTTTCAATATGATCAGTTAATGTAAATCTTTCTTATCTTTTCCGTTTAGAGAGTTGAAAATTATCGTAAATGATATGGTATATCGTGTTCGCCCATACATTATGTTCTTTGCCATCTATACATATGTTAGCCGTCCCGCGCAGATAGCGATTCATTAATTTATTGGCTCAATTCAATTCAATTAAGAGTGTACGTTGCTACTCTCGCTTCAATTGTAAAATGTACATTCTGTGCATTATAAGATGAACGACGAAAAAAAAACTGCAAGTAGAACGATTTATTAATGGATACTGATTGAGTTTAATTCAAGAAAAGTGAATGAACAAGAGAGTGAGAAAAAACGCATAGTGCCATTTAAAACAGGAAACCGTTGAACTTATGCTAGCAAATTTTCTTCAATATGTGAACAGTTGAAGCAAAGTGACCGAGACCATTGGTTCGAATTGACAGCACGGCGACTCGAGATTTATTGATTGTGTTTTTTTCTTCTATTAGCTATGAAATCAGTTGAATGAACGCAACACTGAATACTAGTATTTCATTCTTGCACTAGATGAACGGTAATGGTTTTTTTTTGAAGAAAAAAAGAGAGAAGAAACACACTCGAACAGCACATGCAATTTATTATTGTTTCATGAAGAACGTACGAAGAACCGAAGCCATATCAATGTGTTAAAAGTTCATGTACGCTTTAAATCGAATGAAAACCATTCATATTTCCTGTTAAATTTTCTGCATTTAGTCATATCGAATTTACTACATGCCATTGTACCTGTAACGATAAATAAGCAAAGCAAATACGTTAAACTTGTAAAAAGAAAAAAATAAGAAAGTATTCACAATCACCCTTACAACAGGGTCGTTAAATGGCTTCGTTCTTACATTTCAATTATCAAGAAGATTTAAAAAAATTATGAAAACATGTGAATAAACAACCATTTTCAGCGATTTAAATTGGAAATTCGAGAAAATTGAATTGTAATACAATAGATTAATGTAATTTAACTATTTTTTTTGTATGTGATTTACAATTTATTTTGAATTTAATGGCAGAAAATGTTGTGGGACAAAGAAGAAGTTGTTCTTAATGGCGAAATCGAGGCATTATTTCCCACGAAAAACGAACCCTTAATTCAGAACAGATTTTCCAAGAACAAAATTAATGACTCGCTTAACAGTCTGCATAAAGTCAAAAAAAAAAATCGTCATTGATCGATTGAAGTTAATTTTGTGACACATGAAGAAAATGTTTGAATCTGATGACTTCTTCCCTTATAATGTTTTTAAATCGTTTTACCGAACATTTTAAACATGTAATTTTCCAGTGCGACGGACGAAGTATTAGTTGCATTACCGTGAACTATTTTTAGTGCATTTAAAAGGCCATTTGTCTTCATTCAAATCTATCACCCCCAAGGCTCACTTTACTTCAATTCCATTTTATCAATATGTGACACTCTCAAAAATGACACATGTAATTATTCGACTGATTTAATGTAGTGTCATTCCTTTCAACTTTAATAAAAATGCATTCTCAACATCACAGTAAAGCCGAGAAATGGTTGAGTTATTCCCAAATTGAGAATAAATAAAACAGTTCAAAAAGACGATGCATGCTTCTAATCCACCCGCGTTGACAATTGACACCCACCATAAAATCGCCGAATCTATTTATATGTACGGATAATGCCGTTCTCAGCCATCAAGCCCATAAAATGTTAATTGTCACTTCTGTGAAAATGAGAGTGATATAAAAATAGATGGATGTCAATTTGGAAAAATTGTCTATCCAAGGAGTAATTGAGCCCGTATGATTGAATGCCAAATGAAAAAAATGATGACTATCGATTACTATTTGTTCTTTTGAAATATTCCTATTTAGTTGATGACTGCAATCCCTTCGGGCACGTAGCAACAACAGCGACACAACCAACAAGAGATAGTGGAGAGAGAAAAAAATGCACGTATTTATCTGATTTTAATTTATTTCGACCAACACTTTCGTTCAGCTGTCAATTCGATGTTTTCAAACTCGTCGTCTTCATGGTTGATGGTTTCTACAAAGATAACAATGAGTGTTTGTACGCATTCAAAAAGACAAGCATGAAGAGAAATTATCATGTGCGACATTTCAGAAACATCAGGGCCCAACAGTGACAATAATAATTTATCGGCGCTCACAACACACAACATGAAGTAAAACAAATACAAACAATACAGCTGAAGAAGAATCCCCACAACAGATGCAACGACAAAGAAGAAGAAGAAAAAACCGTTGCTATCGAACAATAACGATAAATAGCAAATAATTCTTTCAACGTTGTTATACATTGAAAATATCGAATGGCAGCAATAAAAGCGAATTTTTCGTTGTTGCTGTTCGCCCCGAGAAAATCAAAGGAAGGATCACGTGCAAATGGAAACAGCATATGTGTGGCGCAAAGCGTTTTGTACGTTTGTTTGAAATAGTCGTCGAGACCATTGATATACGCATATCAGGAAAATGGTTATAATAAAGTTTGGAGAAAAATAGAAATCGAACGCTTGCTTTATAACTGTAATTGCAGCCGTTTGCTGATGACAGCTGTCTGAACCATGATATCAATATAGCCATTGAAATTTTAGAAATAGCAGTCATACATTACGAACCGAGTCGACTCATTTGAGTTGCATAGGTGTATTTATTTAAGATGCTTCAATTGAAAATTTGATTCCTTTTGAAATTGAATTGAACGGCAGAGTGTTTCGAATCATTCCATATTTATCCTATTCATTCATTCATTCATTCATTCATTCTCATAACTTATGAGTCATAGGTACCTCGTAATAACTAGAAATGAAATTGTAAATCGACATAACTGCCAATGAAATTGGTGATTTTTTGGTACATTGAAAACTGCAGTTGTTATGACATTTAAGATTGAACTGATTTCGGTTTACATTTACCAATACAAATTACAGTTTGTAATTTGCAATTTTACCACCAGTTGGATAAACTATTTACAGCTGTCATTTTGTGGATGTGTAATATTGAAAAAAATATTTACGTTGAAAATTAATTAACAGATTTTGGACATTTCTCGTCTCAAGATGTATTTATTTCGCATTTATTTTAAATTTGTAAACGAATTTTGTGGGTGGTTTATCTGATTTTTTATATTTTTCAACATCTTAATTACGGAACAGTTTGAATATTCAGTTGTATTAGTAGTTATTTTGGTGTTTCGTATTAAGTGTGTTCCGACACGATGTATTTTGTGAAAATGCGTAGTTCGCCTACAGCGTCTACACTGTACTTATTGAATTGTTCTCCAGATATCACGTGTCCTAGTTCATGTTGGTGTTAGTGGGTGATTGAAGTGTAGTGTATCTGTGTGTGTATGCTGCAAAGGTGAGATCAGGGTGTGAATGTATTGTGTTCTGTATTTTTTAAGAAACATCACAAACCCAATTCAGTAAAAAAAAAACTAAATAAAATTGAAGTTAGTGTTCGATAAAAACTTTGTCCAACAACAACAACAAAATTCACGTGCAAAATGAGTAAAACATTGAAAATTTCGATTTTAAACCATCCTGAAAATGGCATCGTTACATTCGTGACTAAATCACAAATGAACTCAATCGATGACATTAAAAATGAAATTTTCCAACGTATGTCAGAGTTGAAAGATCAACCATTAACATTTTATTATAAAGGTGAGTTTTGCTATTTCATTATGAATTCTAAAAGTGAACGTTGATTTCCTTATTATTTGACATATTTTTTGTGACTCTCAGGTGACGACAACGACAAAATATCCATTTTGAATGGTAGTGATTTCAAATTATTTCAAGATCGAAACATAAGAAAATTGTTTGTTTCTCTGAAAAATGTACCCAATGATGAAAACGAAACTGAAGCCAAAGTTGACAATTTCAATTTTATCGATGACTGGGATGCATCTTCGAGTATGCAAATATGCTTGGCACCTAGATCAGCAAAACTTACATGCAATGGTTGCAGTTCGTCAATTCAAATGAGTTACTATAGATGCTTACACTGTACTGAATACCTTTTATGTTTTATGTGTCGGCCGAAAATGTACATTTCGCATTTCAACTCTTGTTACAAACCGACACAAAATACCACAAATCACGTTAAATCAAAAGAGAAGCCGAATGAAAAGATAAATGTTTTGAAGGTATTAAATTCATATCCTGGCATAGGAATATTTTCCAATCCAATAGAGAAACTTGGTGGGAGAAGATCATTTTGGTTATAATGGGTCTCTTAACGAATGCACTCAATTCTTTCGGTACGTATACATATTATATAACGAGTTTTTTGAACAAATATCAAAATAATGTTTATTCTCTTGCATTTTCTTAGGTAATAATGATTATTCAAAAATAATGAGACCAGAGAGCAGCACAAATGCAATGTGATTTCCCTTCTCTCAATTATATTATATTTAAAAAAAATATGTCAATAAATAATTTTCACACAAAATAAATCAAATCTTAAATTAAAAAAAAAATCCTTTATCGAACAAAAAGTGTTTTTATTCCACTCAATCAGAAATAAGTTTGTCAGATTTGGTTTCTCTCTGAGATCGGATGCCATAAATTCACAGTTTTGTGGATTTTCACTTCAAAAACTCAAATTATGGATGCAACCTTTCAGTGTTTATCGAATAAATCTTTCGATATATAAACGTCTGTGGTGTTGTGAATTAAGTCAAAAGCCAAAATTCAGTAGACTTTGTTTTGATTGTAATTTTTTCAAATTTTTAGTCGCAAATAGTTACAAAATACCACATTGTAAATTGTGATACAGAAATAACCCCCATCCCACTTAGTATTGAGGTGAATGAGCGTGAAAATTTATGTGTTTATTCACAGAACTGCGTAAAATGAAAAGCAATTTGAATATATTGAGTCCCGGCAAAAATGGGTATATTTTTCATAATTTGTCTTCTCGGCAGGGAGGACGAAGAAAAAAAATGCGCTCCAATTTCACTATCTCGCTAAAAACACGAAAGCAAATATGCTTGATTTTAATAACAACAATGGAAACAACCTAGTCTAAAAAAAACAGAAAAAACGAAAGCGAGAGAGAATGCTGGGGATCGTTGCAATTATCATCACACACACACACACATACAATTTCTGTTCTGTTGTTGATTTTGTGTGCAAAGCCCACACAACATGCTTATGCATTTATTCATTTAGTATTGGTTCATGGGTACCAAATGAACAAAGTGAAGGTATGAGACGAGAGAAAAAAAAGTACGTGCGAAGTGTATGCCACCCTGACTAACGATCTATTGAATTATTCACAACAACGTTCCACAACAATTATCGACGAAACATAAAACAAACACAGTCAGATTGCACCCAACAATTGCGAATATATATGATATGATAAAAATACGGAGATCTCTGTTTGGTCGTCTGTTCTACATAAAACCCATATTCAAGTGTTGATTTAGCAAAGAATGGCATGGCAAAAAAAAAACGAAGCACATTCACAACATTTCAAACTCCTGTTTTTTATCGGACCACTTTTTTTGTGCTGCCAATTCTTTTGTTGTGTTTGTGTCTTGAATGTACTTTTGATGTTAGGTGTCGCATTGTCACTAAACATCGGTGCAGACACACAAATACACGTTCATGCATAAGCACTGAGCGCAAAAATGAAAAAGTAATATTTTGTTGAAACGATGTTCCAACGGCAGAGCATGCACCAGAAATTAAAACAGCATACACATTGTATTGTGTTCTGTTGTGTTCGTTTATTTCATTCTAAAATGTTGTATTTTCCAAACTGTGTGTATACATCAATGTTGTTACTGGCATGAGACATTCCGACGCACGATGGTGCGACAATTTCTTGCTGTGTTGATCGTAATAAACGTGCTAAATTGTTACGGTTAGTGTGTATGAGCGCGCGCTTTGTTTCATAAGGGATGGAAATATCACAATAAAAGAATATTACGTGCCAAATCATAAAATATAATTTAATAACAACCGAGAAAATTGTGTATGTACTCTTCTCTCTCTCTCTTTCTTTCATTTCATTTTTTCTCTATTTAGTTTTGTCTCTGTTTTTTTTCTTCTTTGTTATCATCCACCTTCACTGTCTCGCAGTCTTTTTCAATTTCTCCCTCTCTCTTTCTATCACTTTTGCCCTTTCTCCTGCCCAAAACAGATTTACCGATGCCATTGATTACGTTGAAATGTGATGTTGAAAACGACCCGAAACGAAAATTGTGAAAACCAACGAACAGACTAAACAAAAAAAAGGAACGAAAATCCATTCGAATCAGGATGCGTATTATAACTTTAACGTGATTTTTTTTGTTCATTTTTTGGTTTGCTCTTTGTTTCGTGTACGGTTTGGCATACATTACGGAGATTTGCACAGCTTTCGAATATTTCGACACGAAATTCAAAATAACCCAACAGCAATACATGACATCGAATACAAATGGCTTAAAATGCAGGAAGAAACCATTCGATGTTGGAGCTGAAGAAAAATCGAGCTAGACACACACACAATTATTTGTTGATAAAATTCATTTTGTGTACACGATCGATCGGTGACGTTGTGAATGTGAATACCATATTAGGCACTCACAAGCTACCGTTCACATTAAATATCAAGGCGCTGAATGTGGGATGAAAAGTGTTCAAAATAAAATTTATCCCATTTCGACGTGATGACATGTTCGTTTTTTATTTGAGCTCAAACACAAACAAATCAATGTCGAATTTAATTAATGAATATATTTGGTACTTTCTCAGAAGAGAAAGGGTTCATTAGGTTCGCTAATCGAGTCAAATGTTTCTCTTGAATCTTGAGTTTTGTAACATTTGCAACTGATTTTAGACACACATAAAAAGCGACATTCAATACTCGCATACAAAAAAGTGCACCGCATTTTTTTTTCTCAACTTTGAAGTTTGTGTGTGGTCTTGTAAAGTTTCTTTTTTTTAACTGTCGATGCGCGCCGGTTTTCGGTAAGCAATAAAACTTGATTTTACAGAAATGCTCGTTGAACAATAAAAGGATCGCGCCGGTGAGAAATCATATTAATTACAGACTATGAGAAACCGTCGAATGGCACATCGTAAACAGATGTTCGATAGACGTGAACTTCTCTCTCTCTAGCCTTTGCTTACTCTCCGGTATGAATGAAATAATTCCAACCCCTGTTGAATGTAGAAAATCCAAGCAGATGACTATTCCTTTTCATATCGACAATTAGATTAGGTTAAATCAATCAACAATATTTCACCAAAAGAAATGAAACCAAAAAAAACATTTGGTTCGGCATCTTCTTTTGATTCCGAAAAAGCGTTTCCATTGATCTACCCCCAAATGAAATTGAAAATTTCATTCATCAAATTATTCGCTTGTAGATACATGACCGTTTATTGCCTTTATTATGAAAACATACAATTTCAAGATGAGTTAAATTTACGGTTGCAAAAGGAATTTCAATTGGTTTTCAAGCTGTCGAAATCTATCTCGATAAAATTTATTCTGCAAAAGAACGGACAGAAACCGCAAAGCAATAATTTTTTTTATTATTAACGTTATTCGCTCACTTCCTTTCGCATCGAATATATTAAACAGTAATATAGTCTTGGGATGACGCGCATTTCAGACAACTTCCGAACATTCTCATTAACTTCCTTTTTTGCCGAAAAGAAAATGTTCATATAACCTTTAATTCGATATTAGCGGGTACGCCGACTGGATATATCAAAAATTTTGTGTATTGAATTGAGATGACGTTGAGAATATACGCAAACAATGATTTTCCATTTATAAATCTTGTTCGGTTCTCGTTGCTACCGCTATTGATGCATGATAAAATAATAATGAAATTAACTGTGCACGACCTCTCGTTGACTCTGGCTTCAAAATTACATTTCCTTTCAAAATCATATATATATTCGCATTCCTTCATTGTTCCGTCGAAACGCGAATTATGGCGTGAGTGTTTTATGCGATGCCGGGCAGCTGTGAACAATCTGTGCAGTAATATTCTCAACACAAATATTCGCATTCCAAAACTCAACTGTTCATTATTGCATTGTTGTTAACGTTGAAGCGAATGAGCGAAACGACCGAAGAGAAGGGAAAAAAATAGACTTTTTTGTTGCCTCTCTTTCTCTTTATCGTGAAGTGTATTATAATAATTTAATCGAATGGAACGGAAGTCGCGCCCTGTGATTTCTTGTTTGCTTATACAATATATATTCTGGCTGTTCATTGTCTCGTTCAATATTTCTCACTCAAAGAGCGTTTTGGCTGTGATAAAATAAATTTCATAGCAGTGGCAAGTTTTGATTCCAGGTTTTTTTTCTTGCGTCTTTCTTTCAGTTGAATAAACTACATAACATAAATTACACCTCGTTGACGATTTTAAAATCTTTTATTAGGCATAATATGAATCAATAACAATAAGACTTTGACCCAAACTTAAAAATAAATAGTTGTTTGCATGAAATCTGCCGGTTTCGCAATCTGCCTATTCTCGTTCAGTTTGATCTATATATATTCAGATGTATATTGTATATAGTATGTGTATTTAGGCAATATCGCGTCGCAACGTTTATGGAATCATTGTGGAAGTAAGTGTCATAGCGAACTAAAGGCAAAGAAAGAAGGAAAATACAGTATATGTATAGTAAGCCGCAATTGAAAACAGAAATAAACGACCATCACACAAGAAAATCATATAATCTTGTTTCGACAAAGTCTGTCGACGACATAAAACGCGAAACAAAACAGAAAACGGCATCATAAATCGGCAGAATCGACCTGAAAATCGAAAATCAAAATTCCGTATAAAATTACAATAGAATGATAATAATGTTAATCGAAATTGCGCCCACCAAAAAAAACCGTTGTCTATTTACAATTCGATGGCAGACGAGAATGAATCAAATTCGAATGATAACGTCGATAATAGGATCAACTTCTTGCGTATAACACGCACAGTCGCACACATGCACGCATAAAATGCATACTATCGCATACACAAAAATGCTAATGCAATGAGTGTTTGTGGAACGACAAGCTTGACATCATTCGCCAATTTGATTTCACAGCATAGATTGCGCAAATTGTACAGAGACGAAGCGTATCTGTGTATAACGACGATCTTAAACGCAATTTACTTTGATTTCATCCACATATTCGGCATTCTTGTTTTGCAAGGTATCCAACTGGTATGACATGGAAACAAATTTTTATGGGCAACATTTTCATGCTGATGCTGTACCGAACGCATTTACCTTAAATAAGCCGTCTGATACCAAACGGTAACGTCAATGAGCATCATCAAAATAATACGGTGCGCATTTGTTCCAGTTTCCAAAATACCGTTCCAATTCAATTCATTCGTAGAATAATTTTTTTTATTGATCTTCGTCAATTGTTCGTGTTGAAAATCCATCGGAAAATTCGTTTTTATTTAAAATTTCT